AGTTCCGCTTCCAATGAGCTTTTTCATGGCAATAGAAGCATTCAGCCTCTTTTGGGTCAGAAGAAGGAGTAATGAAACCTTTCTTGGTTCCACTTGAAGAAGAGCCATCAAGGGTCCGAGCCTTGGTACCCTTCGAAGATCTCTTTCTCTTCCTCCCTCGACTTTGCCCGATTGCCAAGACCGGAGTTGAGTTGGAGTAGGAGTGATAGCAACCGACTTCCCCTTAAGACCTGTTTCTGCGGTCTTGAGAAGTCCCTGAAGTTTGCTGAGGGTGACCTCTTCCTTGTTCATGTGATATGTCATGCGGAATTGATCATAGCACGATGGTAAGGAGTGCAAAATGATATCTATTGCAAGCTCCTCAGGGAAGTTCACATTGAGCTTCAGCAAACGATCCACATACCTTTGCATTTTCTGCATGTGGCTCGTGACGGACTCTCCGTCCTTCATCATGGTTGTTATCATGGAGCAGATGACTTCGTACCTCTCTTGTCGTGCACTTTGATGGTATCTTTCCATCAAATCTTGGTGCATTTCATAAGGGTAGAAATCTTCATAAGACTTTTGGAGTTCAGCTGTCATTGTGGCCAACATGATGCAAGCCACCTTGGTTGCATCTCTTTCATGAGTATGAAAGTCAGCGATCTCCTAGGGAGTTGCAGTGGACTCATCAATTTCCTTAAGCTCCTTGTCAAGGACATATTCTTTGTCCTCGTAGCGGGTAATCATCCTGATGTTTCTGATCCATTTATTGAAGTTGGATCCATCAAAGGTGACTTTCCCACACAAACTCATAAGAGTAAAGGAGCCATTAGGATTCGAGCCAGAAGCATTATTTGAAGACATCTGAAAGAGAAGAACAAGTTTAGTATAGATTTAAGAGAGTCCTTAATAAAACACCCAAATGTAATATTAAGGCTAGGATCCAATCACAATATAATATAACTTAGAAGAGGTATGCCGTAATCTAAGCTATACCATATTTGAAAGGTAGGTGAATGACGATTCACCAATTTCCACCACGAAAACCGAAATATTAGATATTTAGTTTTTATTGGTTTTAGAAATTCCTAGATTCTTTGAGATCCAATGAACTTTTCAAAGGCATGTTTCAATCTCGAGAGTGCCCTCCAAGTTTTGTGACTGGGATGCCGAGGATCACAAAACGAGGTGTGAAGTAACCATGCAAATCACTTGGTACCCTTAAAGTTTATCACTCAATCGATGTGCCGGTAAACCACACACGCTCCACCGATACTATAATAAACCTTAAGTCACCCTTTACCTACCTTGTTAAGTCCAAGTTAGTGTGCCGGTTAACCACACACGCTCCACCAACGACTTAGACAAAGTGTAAAGTGTAATTTCATGGATTAGCACCTTATTCACATTTTTCCTAAAGTAACTAAGATTGGGAATTTAATAAACATTTAGTTACTTTATTATATTCATCATACTTTGAATGAGAATTTATAAGTCCTTGTCTTACCCGTTCGGCTAACGACCCTCCACCAGTCAAGCAAGCGGTGGGTGAGAATATACACCCATTAAGTCACCATTTTATAGGCAACAACCTTATACCCACCTTATAGACCGGCTTCGTGAATGAGGCGTACTAGCGGTAAGACGACTTTATTCTTATACATATATATATATATATATATATATATATATATATATATATATATATATATATATATATATAATTATTAAATCATCATAATATAAGTATAAGGGTTGAATTTTAACTTTTAAAATTCTAGGGGTTGGAACTTAAAGTTTTAACTTAACTTTACTTGTTCCAAAACTTGAGGGCAAGTTTTGTAACTTTCAAAACTTTTCATTTCTTGTAACTTATGAGTTTAATAGAGTAATAAAATGAAGACTCTTCATTTTTCTAACTCTTGTATTTGTTTTAATGGTTTTAACTCAAGTGTGACTCTTGGTTTTCCACAACTTAAGGATAAGTTATGGACTCCATTAAAACACATTATGATCAAGAATTAATCCACCACATAGGTTACAAATAATTCCTATGATCATCTAAAACATCATAAGAACAAGAACATGAATATGAACACAATCAAAAATTACATTTAAAACTTTGTAATTTTGATAACTAGTTGTTGTAAATGAATTAGCAAGGACATTACACCACCAAAAACAAGTTTCCAATTACCAAAACAGCTTAGGGTAATGTTTCTAATTCATTTCCAGCAACTAAATCGAAATTCTGCACTCAGTCGACCCTACTCGCCGAGTGCATGAACTCACTCGCCGAGTTGGTTGATGATACTCATGAACTCGACGAGTCCCCCCTATAGACTCGACGAGTCCATTCGCAGACAGCAAGATTTCCGATTCTGTTTTCACCTTTTAAGCACAAATAAGAGCAAACAAGCCTAGGCTCTGATACCACTGATGGGTTTTGAGCATTCTAACACTTCCTAAGTGTACATGCAACCCTAATAACCTTGGATCTATGTTTGTCTAATTGTCATGCAAAGTTGAATTCCAAGGTTATATTCCTATCTAGCATACATGGGGAACAATTTTAACATAAAGTATAGATAGAATAACTTACCTTGTTGTTGTTTGTGTTCCTTGAAACCTTGTGAGCCTAGCACCCCAAGTGTGATGCCTCAAATGCTTCACACAACACCAAATGCTCTTGGAAGAACTTATGAGAGAACACACACTCTTCAAAAATCGGCCAAGCCCTCTTATTTCTTAGTGTAGCCGATTTTGGGAGGAGAACATGTTACTTATATAGTGTTGACACATCTAGGGTTAAACCCTAATGTGTCATGACTCTTTTATTTCCATGACCCATGGGTTTGTAACTCCCATGGAGCATCCTATGGGTGGAACCCAACTTGATAGTCCATGGAGCCTTTTAGCCCACTATACAAGATATGGATGATTTACATAATCAACCCATATATTTAATTAGTCATCTTTTGATCACTTAATTAATTCTAAATTAATTCTTGATCAAACTAATCAAATAATATTATTAATATATTAGAACTTATAATATATTAATAATCTCCAAGTGTTATTTCTCTCATTTAGTCTATCCAATTGCATGGTGCCATGCAACCCAAATGGACCATGCCGGGTCGGGTCAAGTACATACCAGAAATAGTTATGGACTTAGACACCTTATCCAACAACAAGTTGGTATCAGAGCATTGGTTTGAGAGAATTGGATGAATATTCGTGTGAATCCATACTCAAACTAAGGAACTGCAAAAAGGTTTTTAAAATGGGTTTAAAAAACAATTGTTTTCAAAAGTAATCAAGGAAGGATGTGATGTGTATGATCAACCAGAGCAAGAAAGTATACCCCAAGTTACCCACATTCTTATTTGATATGATCTTTATAGTAGAACAACATGCTAGTTGTAGGGTATGGATCTTCAGGAATTGCATGATAGAATTGTCTGATGTATGATGCCTTATTCACATACAGTTTTTTTATACAGTTTTTTTGCTTATTGTTTGTAGAACTCTTTTGGATGTGAATTAACTATTAATCGTATACGTTAAGTCATATGCTGCATGGGTTAAATAATTTTAGAGTGAAGGATTTGGTCCAATTGCACAACTCTTGTCTGAGTCCAATCGTTGTAGGGTTGAATCTTTTAATCTAATATTATTTAAGTTATGTTGCATGTGAATGTATTCATGAAGTAGTTAATTGGCACCAATGGGGGTCTTTCGACAATTGATGGCAGGGTGAGGTGTGGATCCTAGGATAGCCTAGGAAGTGTTGTAGTATGCATGATGAGTTGTTTAGCGGGATTTGGTGATCTTATTATGAGTAGATGACTTAGAGGACTCAGGATGATTCTTGATGAAAGTATGGATAGGTGTGGAAGATCGTATTAGGCCCGTACTATTAGAAGCACGAGGTCCGTACTCGAATCGAGAAAAATTCCAGGGCTAAGGAGTTGGTCAGGGAAGATAAACATGGTTTGATACCATGATCCAGGGCAAGTGGTTCGTATCTGTCGATATGTTGGTCATGATTGATCAGACTGAAAATGAGTCTGGTGGTTGTCTGGGCCTTAGTAGCCATGTCAGTTTGGATTTGAATGGTGCGGACCTAGGTGAGTTAGATGATTTGAGGTCTCAAGTGTCTTGCTCAATGGTAGTGCCAATTGAGTCTACAACTAGATTTTGGTAAAAAAATAAAAAAATAAAAAATAATAATTAAATAATAATAATAATAATAATAAAACACCATCCTTAAGTAAAAAACTCTACAAAAGTGTCGGTTTATAATTTATATTATTTTTTTGAATTTTGATTGTTTAAAAGTCATAAAACTGCAAATGAAGTTTTAGGAAAATCATACCCCAGTGCCACAAACACAATGTTAACATCGAAGAAAAATTAAGACCAAGAACACGTCATGTTCTCCTAAGGACATTTTTGTGCTAGACTTTCGCGTGGTGTTTAATTTCACATCTGGAAATTGTTATATATCTCCAATCTCTAATCTTTATAAGTGCATGTTAACATGGTATTTAAATTTCTATCAAGTATGCTTAAAAAACTTTAAAATGGCATAAAATCACTCTTGGTACCCATAAATGATTTATCGTCAAAATTTTAATAGAGCTATTAAAATGACCATTTATTACAATTTTTTTTTTTCATTCCACATAACCATACCTTTTTAAAGTCGTCAACCCTGCGAATTATTGACCGCGAATTGACGTTGTAGGTTAGAATTGAGACTGATGTCAACAATTATAATTTTGTAATCCATTAAACACATGGAAGATCATGGGACAAATTAAAACACCAAGACATAATATTCTCTAAGTACTCTAAATGTAAAGATGTAATAGCAGAATATAACTGTATAAAACATGTTGCTTAATGCAGTTCTCTAATGAAAAATTCTCCAAATACGAGTCATAAACATAAGAAAATTAAGCAGAATTAGAATTTGATCCCCTATAAAAGACACTTACTTACATGTGTAACTAATGCTTCGACTTGTTAGTACTCCTATCTATATACACGACAGATTCTATCTCGAATAAATCTGAGCTACTGTCACTTGTAATATCATCACCTTCACAGACAGCATTATTCACGTCGTCCTTTTCAATAGCATCCAAGGTCAAAATCGTAATTTTCTTGTCCATAATCATGTCTCCCCTGTAGTCAAAAACTCTGGGAGGATTTAGAATTGGAAACGCAAAGTGGTCTCTTTTTGTTCCATAATCTTTAACTTTAACAGACACTGCTTTCTTGGTCAAACAAGGAGTCGCACAACAGAAAAACCATTTACTAAACGCTTTAACTTTACCTCTCTGTTTTGGCTTACCAGAATTTCTCTTCTGCTGAAAATCGTCGCCATTAAGTTTGTGTTGATGGGGTTTAAGATAACAGGAAAACGAGGGTACACGGAGATCTGTAGATTTAGAATTGGCTTCAGTCGCCATAAAGAGAAGTACGATTGTTTTGACTTTTTGACTTCTTGAATTCATAGTATATGTATAATGTATGGCGTTGGGTTTTATAATTATTCACCGATTCTATGATTCTGTTGCCTAATATGTAATATGTTATGTGTATATTTGATTTCCTAACTTTTTTTTGTTATCGGTCTATTTTAGAAGTGAGATCTTATGTAAATAAGAAAAACCGATCCAATCGGGTTGTTATCCAACTGAATATCTAGCTATCATTCAATTGGATATATCCGATAAAATATATCTAATTATAATCCAACTAATATCCAATTATCAATATATATATATATATATATATATATATATATATATATATATATATATATATATATATATATATATATATATATATATATATATATATATATATATATATATATATATATATATCCAATTATCATCCAACTATATGTAAAACTACCCATACATAAATAGCATAAAAAATTGTTGTTTACCCTTGTACATTATGTTAGTTTCGAAGCCCAAACTAAGAAAACACTTAAAACCCAATGTGTATAGTATTAAAAAGTCAATCTAAATCCCTACTACATGAAAGTCAACTGATAATAATCATAGTTGACCACCCTCCCTAATATTCATGAATTTCTCAATACCCTTAAAAAATAATCATTATTATCATCTAGAAGATGGTGAGTTATTGTCACCTACAACCCAATATTGTTTGACTACAAACAGCATCTTTTCTGAAACAAGTGGGCCATCTTCATGATCCACCATTTTTGTATTCCATCTCATTCCTGAAACAATCTTTTTCACCTTCATCACTTCAATTTCATCATCACGAATTATTACACTTCCTTCAGGTCTTAAAATCCTATCCATTTCTAGAAGAATCTCTTCATAGCTACACCTACAAGAGTATGTATGTCTCACCATTAAAAACTCCAAAAGATTACACCAAAATAACAACCTACTTACATTATATATAAAAAGTAAAGTAAAAAAGAATAAAGTATGTTGCTATTTCCTACAACTTACTTGTCTTTATACAAGCTGAAAAGACCATGAGCATGAATTAGGTCATATGACCTTGGGTATGTGGAGAACGCTTCACACCTAAAAACAAACAAAAAAAGAAAACCAACTTCATTTTTTTTTTTTAAATAATTGGATGCTATGTTAAATAAATAAATAAATTAACATTTTTTTTTTATATATATTACCAGTCATGATATATGCCAATCAAACCTCTCTCATAAATGACACCAAGAGTGTCTTTCTTGGATATTGTGGGTACCACATTCATAACCCAAGATTTAGGAGATTCAATTGCTACAGCAAAACTTCCAACACCAGCATTCATATCCATAATATTACGATAACGCCCTGAGGCGATTATCTTATTTACCCTCTTGTAACCATTCAAATGTTTTTGCCATAACTTTGTGTCTTCTTTGAATGACTCATTGGAGATTCCATGTATTGAGCCACTTGAAATTCTTGGAGGAATATCATAAAGTCTTTGTGGGAATAATGCAACTTCATTTGAATTGTTGGTTTTTGGGTAAGGGGTTACACAAGCTTCTATCTTCTTGTACCTACATGTCAGATATGTAAATCAGGTACACAGTGGCCCACTGTCTGATTTGAATATTAGAAGTTGAAAAGTTGTGGAGGTTATATACCAGATATCATTTACACTTGTGGATTCGCACGTTTTAACACGAGACTCTCTTTCTTGACAATGATCGTTATTGACTCGCTTTCTCCAAATGACCATTTCGCCCTTCTCGTGTTTCTTCTCCCAACAAACAAGTTTAGCTATCTCCTCAATTTTCTTTTGCTCCTCTTCCAAATGGCCCGAAAGCACAAAATAGCCACCAGGTCTCAAAACTCGGTCAATTTCCATCATGTAGCTTCCATCTGTGCTCATATGATCAATTATATATTTATATTATACAAGATTTTTCAAGAATATAGTAAATTAAATATTGTTTTTTTTGGGCATATACCATTTTGGGCCCATGGAATTGAGCACCTAGAACAATGAGCCATGTCAAAGGATCTTGAAGGAAATGGAAGCTTTATAGTATCAAGAACACCAATAAAAGCAGGGACACCTCTTTCAAGAGCAAATTGCACTTGTGCTTCATGAGAATCTCTTGGTGAAAACGACATGGTTATAACATTTTTCTTGAACAAATACGCACCAAAACTTGCAACCTATGTGAAATCATCAAATGAGAAAATGAATTGGAATATCAACTTAAAGTAATGATATACTCACCCCACATCCAATGTCTAAAGCAGTTCTAATTAGTCCATTCCCTAATGGGATAACAGACGCCATTTGATCAATATATGAATCAACCCCATGAGGAAACTGAGGTCCTCCACCAGTGAACCTAAAAACTTTTCCTTCATGTCGAATCCAATTTTGAGTATCTTTTTCTATTAAGCTCTTATGGGGTGCATTAGCAAATGGGATATAATCACGACTTTTGGGCCATGGAAATGGTGTCGCGTACCCTTTTGGAGCTGGAATTAGACAGCGTAGCTTTTCAGCATTGGGAGGACAATGTCGTTCTTTATAGTTTATAGTTCGCATTGGATCATGACAAGGTGTGTAATCAATGAATCGATCATCACAGGGTTTAAAAGCTTCGCTTTTTGATCGTAAATCATTAGGGTTTTTTACTCCGACGCCATGGTGAGTCTCGATGTTTAGATTTGAAATGACACTGCAATCGGCTCTTCTTGTTATTTCATGAGCTATGCTGTCTCCTTTCCCAAAACCGCTTCTTTGCCAAGCACCCAAGAGATAGAAGAAGCAACATAAACCAAATAGTACGAAGATAGAAAAAGATCTACGAGTCCTGTTGTCTCCTGTATTCCCTTTGGTTGCCATGATTGATCTGCAAAATTCGTTGACAAAATCAAAATATTGATACACAAAGTTTCTTAAACCCTATCCAGTATCCACCAATGAGTAATTTGATCGAACACTTGATCGATATGAATCATACATGCATTACAGTGCCCTGTTACATCTCTAACAAGCCTTATCCTGTTTATAAAAAAAGAAGTTGCAAAAACAAGGTGTCTTCTAGAAATGTGATGATTTTTTTTTGTTTTTGAGTGGAATAAAACTAACAGAAAAGCAAGATCTTTGTATTCGTGGTTACCAAGAATTTGAGCTTTCGCATATCTTAGGTGGACGAGCATTATAAACACAGTGAACAAAGGGTATATTTCAGAATCAAATAAAGGGAAAATTTTGGATTCAAGGAATTATTTTTGGGAACAGTCGTTTAAAAACAAGTTGAGTTATAATGAAATTCTGCTTCGCCAAAAGAATCATCATAAAAAATACGATAAAGATGAAAACCTTACTGATCTTGAAGACAAATATATGGAAATCTATGGGGAGTTTCGTTTGATCAAAGCATGATTGGTTGGAGAAATTAGAACATCGACGGAGGAAGGGGAAGTTCCTGCGATTATGGTTATGAGTTATGACATATGATTGTGGGGAATAAAGTAATCAGAAAGGGGAAGAGAATTCAACTAATTAAAAAAAAAAACATAATGAGGAATGCATGGATGCTTTGCTACACTTTTGTATAATAAATTAAATATTTATATTTTTATATCATATTAAAGATAGTCGTACAAATATGTCAAGATGGCCGAGTTGGTCTAAGGCGCCAGTTTCAGGTACTGGTCCGAAAGGGCATGGGTTCGAATCCCATTCTTGACATTACTTTTTTTTTTCTTTTATAAAGAGTGAAACTAAAATTAAAACATGTCAAATATGTGTGGTCATCATGAGTTAGGTCTAAGCCATGTGCTATTCAACTTATTAAAAGTTCAACAACAACAACGTTTATTGTTGGGTTCGAAAGGATGACACACGTAAATACTTGATGCAACACTCTTAATATATCTTCTAAATTTATATTATTTTATAATAGAGATAAATATGGTTCAAATAAATGACTCATCTTTAATCAAATTAATTTAGATTTTTTTATTCATCGACTCCTACAAATTAATGTAAATTTCTTTTATTACTTGATAATCTTTTTTATTTATTTTACTAACATACTAATAATATATTTGGATTTTATTAAACATCATTTACTTGTAAATTAAAATGTTAAACACCATTATTTGTTATCGTTACTTGTTAATAACAAGTTCAACAACTTTATTTGTTATTGGAGAGGTTTAAAACTATTTTTTAATAAGTGAAATTCTAAAAATATTAAAAAAAATAATAATAATTAACAATAATATAGTTAGAAATAAGAATAAATCAAAATCTAAGTCTGACCAACAATACAGGGGTGTTGGAGATTGTTTTTTGAAACAACTTCATTGATTTTTTTTTTTTTACTTTTTAAAAACCAGTAAGTCTAAAATATGTTTGATAAATTTAAAATGATTTTTTAAAACAACTTTTGAATTACCTTAAAAAAAATAGGTTTTAAAACTCTTTTTAGCTTTTATTATTATCACATTGTCATTCATTTAATTTATCAATCTAAAAGATTGATAAATAGTTGTTGATTAGTTAGAGATTTGCCTGATCTTCTACAAACATACAAAGTTCATAATTTTACATTCATTTTAAACTTATTTATAACTGACTTCTTTTGAACATTACAATTTTACAACATATTTCTAGTTCCAAATGGAATAATAACGAAATTGACTGTTAGAACAAACTTACACAAAAAACATTAATACATCATTCGACAATGTCTCTATACTAATACAAATTTAGTGAAACCTAAAATTGACTTTCATATAAATGTTTCTCACATTTGCAGGATGGAATATGATATATTCAGTAAGTTCACTTGTTGATATTTTAGTAAACATACAAAAAACAATGAACGCGAGAATCAACAAACAGTAACTTAACAAAACCATGACAATGCAATAATAACAGAGAACCACCTCATTCAAATTCAAATTCATTCAATACCTTCAACAAGAATCTATAAGTTCACATCTTATAACGAATGTGTGTCATATCAAAATTTCTTTAAAGCACACCACTACTCAAAATATCTTTGTTTCCAACCTGATTCAACTCTTTCCAGCTTGCTTTTCTTTGGTCTTTTGAATCTTCAAAACCTTCTTCACAATCTTCTGCTCTTCCACCAAGAAAGCTCGAATGATCCTGCAACAAAAATCAACACTTTTGAACAAAAAATCGCAAATTTTATAGGTTTTTCAAGAGAAGATTTTGCACAAACCTCTCACGCACTGCACCAGCAGATAGCACACCACCATAGGCACGGTTTACTGTTCTCCTGTTTCTTGATAGCCTGGACCTTTTGTATTCAGTAGGCCTCAAATGAGGAATCTGTTGAATGATAATTCATAGACTCAGCTGAACATTCAGTTTTAAGAAGCAAAATTAAGATTTGCAGTCGATCTAATGTATCAGAAAGGTGCAATTTTGGATGCAAATGCTAGATTGAATGGTGTTTGTAAACCATGGACTGAATACTATCAGCCCTGCGATTGGAAATTTTACATACTCTATAAAGCTTCGAATCATTCCACCATTAAACGTTGTCGAAGAAGAAATTATCAAGTTTACCAGAGATTTAAATCTAATACTAGCATTCGCGGATCGTAAACTGCAATTACTGAATGCGGATTGGAAATGAAACAGGATGAAGAGAGTTGCAGGTGTGTGATTTAAACATTTCAATGAAAGATGTAGATAGAGTATGCATTACCCCTTGGATTCTCTTGCCAGTTACAGGGCACTTAGGGCCACTGGCTCTCTTCTTTGTAGTCTGGTAAACCAACTTTCCACCTATTACCACCAACGAAAGAAATCAAAAACTATATACATTTGCGTAAACTATGATCGAGTTGCAAATTGAATGGATGGTGTACCAGGGGTTTTGACGACCCTGTGCTGATTGGATTTGGTAGCATAGCTATGGCGTTTGCGGTAGGTGAGACGTTGCACCATCTTCGACTGCCGAACGAATTCTCTCTCTGGCGGAACGAAAGGGGTTTTAGGGTTTGCAAGCGGAAGAATTTAAACCTATCATTCACCAGTGACCTAGATCTGACGGCTCTCTATTTTTCTCCTCAACGGCTTGGATTTGTTTAGTTTATTATTAGGGAAAATGAGTTAAGATCGTTATTAACTTTTTGTTCGTAGTCGTGTTTTTTATATACGTTTTTTTGTTTTTAATTGCAGCATCATATACTAAAAAAACAAACCTCTAGCAAGGAGCTAGAGAAGAAAACAAATTAAGGTCGGATTGGATTTTGTAACTATATCATTTAGTTAACTCGAGCCTTAGAATTACGAACCGAAAACCAACGAAAAGAAAGATCCATAACATAATCAAATAGCCTATCTTTTCTAGGCTTATTGCTACTAAAAAGTAAAGAATTAAGCAACGTCCAAAGCACCCATATAACCATTATGAACAACCGACTCAACAATCGAGCGCTTCATATGAAGAGTCGATCTAAAATCCACCCAATCCACCACGTCACGGATAGATGAAAACACAGGAAAGTCCAAGTGAAGCCACTGCCCAACCCGACTCCAAACCTAATCAACAACCGAACACTGCAGCAACAAATGGTTCACACTTTATTGATAATTATGGCACACGGGACACATTAAGGAATCTATCACCACCCCCCTTTCCACCGATTTAGTTCTAACCGGAATGCGATCAAAAAGCATACACCATAAGAAAATGTTAAATTTAATAAGGACAAAATGGTTCCACCTAGTAGGCGTATTGCCCATAGGAAGTGTCATATCATCAACCCAGTGCCTTGCTGCTCTAACAGTAAAAATACCGGACGGATCAAGCTCCCAAGACCACTTATCCGGCATCTCCCCTATATAAATAGGATTTAAAATCTCCACAAGATCATCAAATTGGGTCAATTCAGCACATCCTCTAATCCCCTAACGCCAATGAAAATTCCAACCCCCCGAATCCCAATAGTCACTAACCCGAACATCTTGATTAAAGGCCAAAGCAAAGAGTCTCCGAACCGCTCCTTAAAAGGAATATCCAAGCACCAAACATCCTTCTAGAACCTTGTTTGGGTCCCGTTCCCCACCACTTTATGCATGAAATTAGAAGGGATAACCATTTCTCATGAAGATGATTAATGGATCTTACAATCTTTTGCCAAACACACCCTCAACTTTCAACTCTCGAATCATCTGAGAAACCACCACCTTCCCCATGACAAAATTTGACAGTTTTAACCCAAAGAGCGCCCTTGTCGTTAAGAAATCGGCACTTCCATTTATAAAGAAGACCGAGGTTAAAAGCATCCAAATTATCAACTCCGATACCTCCATGGGAATAAGAGTTCAAGATCAACTTTCAATTAACCTAATGAATACGATATTGACCTTCATCTACTCCCCAAAAAAATCGAGCCCTCAGAGCCTCTAAAGAGTGAAAAACAATCGCAGGAAGACGAAACAGAGAGAAAAAGTAAATACCCAAACTCCCTAGGACCGAATTAATAAGAGTTAGACAGCCTCCAATGGACAACAACTTGACCTTCCAAGAAGATAACCTCTTCTTAAAACGGTCGATGATAATCTGCCAACCTTTAAGATGAACCATGGATTCTCCAACCGGAATACCAAGATAAACAAAAGGAAGAGTTCCAGCCGAACACCCAGTATAAGAAGCTAAAGTAGCAATCTCCACCAGGTTCACCCCTACCCCATAAAGATTTGATTTATTAAGATTGAGATTAAGGCCCGACATCAAATAAAAGCACCTCAGAATATGAATCAAGTTCTGAATATTCGAGACATCCCACTAACCTAGAAAAATCGTGTCATCTACATAAACACAAATGAGAAATGTAGGCCTCATCAAAACCCATCGGAGCACCCCGAAACACCCCTTCAACAACCGCATCCTCTAAGGCAATATGAAGTTATACCATAGCTATTATGAATAAAAAAAAAGAGAAGAGGGATGTCCCTGTCTAAGACCTCTGAAAATCTGAAACTCATCAGTGGGGCTCCTGTTAATCAACACCGAAAATCTAGCATTAGAGCACAAGCCACGAATCTAGGCTCTCCATTTCTCACCAAAACCGAGAAACCCCATGACCTTATCCAAATACTCCTAGCTCACAGAATCATAAACTTTTTCAAAATCAACTTTATACATCATAAGCTTTTTCTTTTTCGTTTTAAACCACCTCACCAGCTCATTAACCATCAACGACGCATCGTGAATTTGACGAGACTTAAGAAAAGCTGATGCTCTAACCCATTAATTGTTGGGTTTTATGTGCTATAACACTCATATGGTGCACATACAACCCTACTGATCTAATTATACATGCAACAAAATTATCCAAAGCATGAAACCTATAACTAGCATACAACATAGACATCTGAAACATAAAAACTAGTTAGATAATTACCTCTTGTTGTAGCTTGTAGATTTTTGCCTTTCAAGAGCTTAGCACCTCAAATGTAATGCCTCAAATGTTTCATAAAGCACCGTGAACAAATGGAGGACTTTGAGAGAGAGGTTAGGAGCA